GTAGCCAGACTCTACGGAGCATACCGAGCGGCTACAAAGGCGCTTCAAATTGCTATAGCTAACGCCAGGTCTCGGTCCTGGAAAGAGCTTCTAGAGGGACTCAACGAGGATCCCTGGGGGCGTCCATACAGGATGGTACTGGGTAAGCTCCGGCCTTGGTCGGCCCCTTGACGGAGACTCTCGATCCGGATCTGCTGGGAAGGGTGATCAGCACGCTCTTTCCAGAGGACCGGTCAAGTCCCTCAGGTCACCTACCGTCTTCATGGGAGTGGCAGGATGAGATGGGGGTGACCGTCGAAGAGCTGGACCGAGCCGTTAGCCGCTTAAAAGCCCGGAACACAGCACCGGGGCCCGATGGAATCCCGGGCCGGGCCCTAGTGATGAGTCTGGCTGCCCTGGGGGACAGGCTCAGGCAGCTGTTTAACAGGTGTCTGCGCTGTGCCACGTTCCCCACAGCCTGGAAAGAAGCAAGGCTGGTCCTCTTGAAGAAGGAGGGCAGGGCCGCTGATTCTCCCTCTGCGTACCGCCCCATATGCCTGTTGGACGAGATTGGCAAATTATTCGAGAATTGCCGGTCGGCTCAATAGGCATCTGTCGCGCGTTGGTCCCGATTTGGCCGATAGCCAGTTTGGGTTCCGACGGGAGCGTTCCACTTTAGATGCGATTATGCGCGTCCGCTCCCTGTCGGAACAAGCAATATCCCAGGGTGGCGTGGCGTTGGCGATAAGTCTTGATATCGTCAACGCCTTTAACTCCTTACCCTGGGATGCAATCAGGAGGGCACTGGCACATCATCAGGTGCCCCCCACCTGCAAGGTATTATCGGGGACTACTTGCGCGACAGGTACATTCTGTACATGGGGCAAGATGGCAGGAAGATCCGGAGGGAGATCAAACGTGGGGTTCCACAGGGCTCGGTGATGGGGCCGCTACTGTGGAACCTCGCCTATGATGCGGTTCTGCGAATCGATCTTCCCGCTGGTGTAGATGTGTCTGCTATGCAGACGATACATTGGTGATCGCCAGCGGGATCACTTTCGAGAGGGCCACGGAGCTCGCCGAACTCGGGGCGGAAGTCGTCGTCGCCAAAATCCACGAGTTGGGATTAGAAATAGCGCCTCACAAGACCGAGGCCATATGGTTCCATAAATTACCAAGGAGCAGGGACCTACCCGACTCGTGTATCCGCGTGGGTGGGTCTGAAGTCAGAGTGGGGAGGTAAATGAAGTACCTAGGCCTCCACCTGGACAGTCGCTGGGGCTTCGAAGAACATTTCGAGCGCCTAGTCCCCCGGATCGAAAGGGTAGCGGGTGCTATGCATAGACTGCTGCCCAATCTAGGGGGACCGACGGAGGAAGTACGTCGCCTCTATGCGGGAGTTATACGATCCGTAGCTCTATATGGAGCGCCTGTATGGGCAAAAAGGCTGGCCATCCGACGCTGTAGAACTAATATCTACAGTGTTCAGCGGAGGATGGCCATACGGATCGTACGAGGATACCGCACAATATCCTTTGAGGCGGCGACTATCCTGGCTCGCTTTCCACCACTAGATATACTGGCGGAAATGGACGCGAGAGTGTACGTTCGTATCCGTGCCCTGCGCCAGAGTGGTGGTAGTGAGCCAGAAGAGGCGCTCCAATCAATTAAACGGCAGGAACGACAAAACGCTCTGGCATCATGGCGCTCTCGACTCGAGGAACGCTATGAACGCAGACGCGTCATTGAAGCAATCCTGCCGGTCTTCGAAGCCTGGATGCAGCGACGAGCAGGAAGACTCACCTACAGACTTACTCAGATAATTACCGGGCATGGGTGCTTCGGTGATTATCTGTGTAAGATTGGACGTGAGGCAACGGCGAATTGCTTCCACTGTGGTGGAAGGGACCAGGATTCCGCTTCCCACACACTCGCAGTATGCCCTGCGTGGGAACGGGAACGGACGATCCTGGTGAACCGCATCGGACGGGACCTCTCCCTGCCAGCAGTTGTGTCGGCGATGCTGAGCGGGGATTCGGCGTGGAGGGCCGTAGCCACCTTCTGTGAATCTGTTATGATTCAGAAGGAGGCTTCAGAGCGGGATCGGGAGAGGGCGGATCCCGCGCGGAGACGACGTCACCAAGGCGTTCGTCACGGCCCTCCGGGGCCTCCGGGGTTGCAGACGCTCGGGGCGGGGGCCTAGAGCGCCTAGTTATGTAACCCCCGATGAGGACGATGGTTCGAAAGTGGTCTCGAGACATCGTGCTAGCACTGCGAGGGTGCTGGGAGCAGAAAGTACTGCCCCTGGGACGTGATACTAGTGTAGCAAAGCGATGGAGGGGCCCCGGTTGCGTTCCGAACGGAGATCCCTGGACCCCTCTTATACGCTGATGGTGACCACCGTGGGGTTTTAGCCGGTAGGAGTCCGGCATAACCTTTTGTTGCCCCCGCAGCGGAAGGTATCCATGAGGATTTCCCCACGACAAAAAAAAAGGTTAGGTTAGGTTCCCCCCCCGAACGGGTTCCCGCCTTGTCGTGGCGGGGGGGCTTAGTAGCCGTGGCTTGGTCTCCCACGGTGAACAAAGAGGAACCCACGTGGCTGGCCCGAGGTGAAGGGCCGGCCTGAGGTGGCCACTCCGAGTGGGCTTGGGGAGCCCACTTCGGATGTGTGCTGGTGGACTGCAGCGAGTGGGGACTCCGCACCCTCTACCGCTGCAGCCGAGGTGGAGTCGCGGAGGAAGAGGAGTGTTGGTATGGCGATGCGCCACTCGCCCTATCCTCGGCGACTCAAACGGGGCCGCACCGTTGATGCGGTGGTGATGGTGCTGCGGGGGGGAGAGGATTGTCGGTATTGCGAGGCGCCGCTCTCCCTATCCTCCGCAGCCGAATCTTGGTTGGTGGCGGAGCCATAGACCAGATCCGCCGCTGGGGTCGGGAAGGCTAGTACTTCTAAGTGCTCGTTTTTCCTGGCCCCATGGCCTTCGCGCATCGGACGCGGGGGCGTCTGTTGCGCAGATGTAATTGGAGGCCGTGGAGGAAGGCGCGCCATGTGTTCTGGTGCGCCTTACTTGGGAAGGAGAACGGAGAGGAATATTCCTCTCCCGAGGAGGTGCTGCCATGGGCTGAGGGCTGCCAACCTTTTTTCTTTAATTGGCTACTTCAAAAGAAGGGTAACGTTTTTTGAGTATGCAAGTATGGATGTCTTTTTCTTTGACACGCTCTGTAACCTAAATTGCTTGATGGATTTTTTTTTGAAAATGACATAATATTTTAATTTTTTTCTTTTCAGTAAACTAGATTTTATTATTTATCATTGTTTTAACCATTGGACTTGTTTATGCAACTTGTTTAATAAATTATTTCATCTTGTTGTTTGATGACTTTTTTTACATAGAAATATTTTTCAAATAATAAAATTACTCCCCTCCCTTTCCTTTTATTTTTCTTACAATTCTTTCTTTTTCATAAGGTCGTAACAATATACTTCCGGCCATGGGTTATGGAAATACAGAGGAGCTCATGAGCAAGTGAAGCCTTTCATGGCTACGCTGTTCTGAACAACAAGCACGGAGTTCCTACGTTCCGCAGAGATTAAATTTAAAAAAATGTTCGGACTTTTTCCTCCTAATTTTCCTAATAGAGCCTAGTAAAGTCCACTATAGATCATAGCATGGAGGTTAGAGAACAGAACGATCGCTATGTGCTAAAGCATAGCCCGCCTGTCACTGAAAATTTGCAGAATTTATAGCCGTGCTGCCATTGGTAAGTAGTGTCTGTGAAGTAATTTTTGACTAAAAGAAACATTAAAAAATGGTGTAATATTATAAAAAAATAAATCGATAATAATTTATATTTGTAATATAATAATTATTGAGACAACTGAGCGATCGCAGCGCCTCACTTATTTTGTCCATATTTCTGGGACCCTATTTTATACAGCGATCGCTCTCCTGTTGCCTAACCTCCATGGATCATAGGCTTCCCCCATATGGGATATTTGCCATAGTTACCACGCTTGGTAAGCGTGTTGACAACCGCAGTTTTTTTTATTTTTAGTCTATTAGGTAGGCACTAATATGTTTCACTCTGTCGCCTATTAATCATAACTGATAACTAACGTCAGGGTGAAAAATCACGTTTATGTCAATTTCTAATAAGTAATCGACGTGACAAAGTAAGTGATTCTTCACTGTTGTTTTCATAGACCTATAACGTCGGTTATAGTTATAAAAAATAATACTTCCCCAAGTCTAGTCACCTTTTACGACACACGGCATGATATGGATATTCGTACACTGTAATGTTTTGAGAAATGACCAAATACCGTGTAATGAAAAGGTGATTGATAATTTCTCAAAACATTTCATTCAAAACATTATCGACGTCTTGCAATCGTCGTGACTAGCGCTCACTTGACTTTCATACAAACAATTCGATATTTTAAGTGTTGAATTAGTAATTTCTCAAAAAATTTTATTTATCGACAAAGTATTGCAATCTTCGTTACTCTAGCGGTCACTTTAAAAAATATATATTGTCTTTGACTTGACCATAGGTTTGACTAATTGGTTTAATGAACTGTCAAAGTCTTGAGTGGTTAAGTCATGGGACATAGCGAAAACTCAACACTCAAAAAATGGTGAATCCGCCCATAATCGTGACCAGTGCCTGTTAAGATTTTTGTGTTGTGGATATATGCTACCTTTGCCTGATAAGTTTTGTATTATTTTAGTTAAACGTTAAAGACCACGAAATTGAGGACCTGCTCCAAAATTGGCAGTCACCGGAGATAAGCGATAGTGGGGATGAAAATTGCGAGGCGAGTCTTACAGATTATTGCTCTAAGATTATGGACGCTGCATTAGACGAAATACAACGTATATCAAAAGAAGGTTTGTTGCATATACTTGAGGGAAGTCCTGCAAAATTGTTACAAGTAAGTGAGTAGCAGCCTTCAGATTCAGACCAAGACGTTATCAGGAAGTATCCACCAAACGCTGCCCACTCTCATTTGTAAGTGCATGGCTTGCAAATCTCAGCGTCCACCAGCACATGACATTTCCGAACCTGGGGCCGGTACTTCTCAGCTTTTGCAGATACCTGTACTCATGGACATTCCTAAACTTGTGGCCGGTACTTCCCAACCTTTGCAGACACCTGCACACGCGGACCTTCAGGTCAATCCTTCCCAGCTTTCAATAAAACTTACACTTCCTGGTGCCAGGGCGGTTTTCTCCATGCTTCACCGGATCACATTCCGCCTAACACCGCGACAACTTTATCTCAGCATCAGCCAAAAACTAACCTTCTACATCCTAACAGGGCATCAAGTATATTTCAGCATCTAAGAGCTCGCATGCAAACTCCGGAGCTTGAATACTTTGCCATTTCCATAGCTCCCGGGGATAATCAACTACGTGTGCTACCTGAGCCAACTTGTGCTGAATTAATGGCGAAGCAAAGAAAGTGGACAAATAAAAATATTAGAAAATATTCATGTTTGCGAGGTAATTACTCATTTATCACAAAATCATAAAGATCACGACAAACTTCAAAAATTAAGGCCAATCTTAAGCGTTCTTAAAAAACATTACACAAACACGAAAAGAAGCAAATATATTATGGACCATCCGCCATTGCAGATTTCACCCGAAACATGGGTGGGTTTGATCATTTTGATCACTACCGTAGCTCGTATTCCATTGGACGTAGATCCAAAAAGACATGGCCAAGATTATTTTGGTTTTACTTTGAGTGTGCTGTTATAAATGCATATATCCTGTATCAATTAAAAATGAATCAAGAAAAATATTCAACGAGACTTCCGTTTGCGATTGGCCAGAAAATTAAAGTATGGAGACATAAATACGCAAAAAGCCAATCCAATAGTTTTCAAAAACAAAAAAGGTGGTCTTTGGTGTCCCAGATGAAATGAGACTGGGTTACATTACGTGGAACCGATGACCACAAGAAAGAGGTGCAGATTCTGTAGCACTAGACAAAAAGACACTCGTTCGAAGTACATGTGCAAAATATGTAAGGTAAACCTTCGTGTGTACCCATGCATGGAAAGTTTTCACTAAATCCAAGATAATATGTAATAATAAATAAAAGATTAACCTGATGTTACAACAACGAATATTTATAATGTTAAAATAAATACAACTCATCATCACATTTTTTTATTAAAATTATTTTTCAAATATAAACCACTTTCATTTCAGTACCAAATAATTACCTTCTCATTTTAGCCAAGATCCCGGCTTTCACTTCGGAAACCAGTATTCATTGACCATGATCATAGAAATTGGCAAGTTTCCAAAATCCAAGAAAATTTTGAGGAATTAAGTAGTCGTACGCTATATTTTTCTTAATTTCTTGCCAGGCAACGGCATTATGTTGTCCCACATGTTTTTTTTACTTTTCCAAGTAATTTTCATATTTTCGTTGTTGTCATGCCATAACAATTAAAACAGCATAATTATGGAATCAATAGCTGAAATTTCGGTATGTTAAGGAGTTCTCTTGGGCCTTGTCAAGGGTTAAACAGACCCATCTAGGGGCAAATTATGGAACTTGTTAATGATTTCATAGTTGTTGATAGATTCGTTTCGTATTCAGAAACATAGTGACAGTTACACATGTAACCGTAGTTTATCCTATATATTATATAACTTTATTGAATCAATAGCTACTGGGAATATAACTGGGAACATCAGAAACCGGGCATTAGCAAGTACTTTGATTTTAGATACAGGCATCAAAACATACAGACTCACGAGCGGAGGAGGTCTACGTACCTTCTCTCTATCTTTGTGGTATTTTGAAGGTTTCAAGTTTTTGGGTACTAGAACGGAATCTTGTCGCGTTGCAACTGACTCGTTAGATAGTTTGGTGAGTTAATTAATTTTCTTTTGTGTGATTGACTTTAATTAATTTATGAATTGGTTACTGGGTTGTTCTTCTTTTTAACCTACAATAATGCGTATTCACTAGTCGACCAAAACAAAAGCTTAAGAGAATTCCTTCACTATTTAATTTTTTTTATTTCAACATGCATTGTAATTATGACATAAGCGGTTGAACATATTTTATAAAGTGTGCAATTATATTTTTGTGGTTACATTTACGTTACAGAGTTGTAACTCCGCGTGACAGAGTTGTATTTCATACATATTCGAATTGTCTCCCATCGCCCCGACTTGCGCATTTTCCAGAATATTACAAAAAAATTACATGAAAACATAATATAGAAAACTATTTTTTATCCTAAAAGATATAATCTTCCAATGTACTACACATTGGAAGATTATATCTATTTTTAATTGAAATTTATAACAAATAGCATAAAAAATCTCAAAAACTTGTCTCTTACTACAAATGTTTTAGTATGTCAATACTGTCACGTGGGTTATAAATTCGAAACGAGGGTCTGCGCTGCTCGTCTTCGGTGATGTTGATCGGAAATTAAGGCCTTCCGATTCCCCCGCTACGATTTCCCCTATAGCATCCACGGGACCGCGGGCTAGTCGCCCGTTAGCTGTGGAGGGAGGTGCGTGTGTTTATTCGGCTACTCTTTCGTCACGTAAGTAATCGTAATAAAATACGGCATTTATAATTATTTTACATTATCCACTCTTACGCAATGAGAAATACTTTCATGCGAACATGTTCATCATACATTTTATGTTAATATTAAGATATTATCGAGTGTGCAACGAAATTTTACCCCTCTGTCACATGACAACTCTGTCACATAACTTTTGTGACGGAGTGGTAAAATATGTGACGGAAGTGGTAATAAAAAATATTTTCGGTTATTTTTTATTTTTTTTGAATGTATTTTATTTGGATTTTGAGTGTGTGTCAGCGTTAAATAGGGATAGGAAATTATATTCTATCTTTTTATTTTTAGCATGAAGACAAAAAAGCCATTATCAGCAGCAGAAAGACAGCGACGTTGTCGGGAGAAACGAAAAAAGTGACCCAGAAAAGGTAGCAGAAGTAAAACGCAAGGATTTAGAAAGGTACCACGCTCGAAAAAAGTTGGTGGCAGATATGAACGCGAGAGAACATCGAATTATGAAGCGAAAATGGCAACAGGCGAATAAAAAAAGAAGAGAGAAGAAACAGATGCTTGAAAATGTACCGTTGGACACGCCGGCTCTATCGCCGATACCGGAAAACCCACAAATAAGACCCCATTCTGCGACACCCACTCTATCGGAAGCGTCTAGTGCAAGGGGAAGAAAGAAAGTGAAAAGAGATAGATCAAAGATGTACAGAGATAATATTAAATAACAAGAAAAAATAGAACAGCTGGAGAAAAGAATCCGTAAATATAAAAAAAGATTACAACGAAAATCAAAAAGAGACAGCAAAGTGGAACATAATAGCAACGATGAAAATAAATATAAAGTCCTTTCTAATGCCATCAAAGAACGCTATAAAACTGTCAAAAGTCGTAAAGAAAAACGCCTCATACATTCTATTCTTCAAACTCCCATTACAAAAAAATCCAGAATGCAAACGCAAGGAACGGAGTCCGTTCAAGGTAAGAGATGCTTTGGGCGTAGATCGCCCTCTAAAATACAAGACCGTTCTAGCAAAACAGACTCATCTCGTACGAAAAATACATCAGTTCTTTTTGCGGGATGATGTAACGAGAGCTACAGCTGGAAAGAAGGAGACCGTAACGCACAAAAAACAAAAAGTTCAGAAGAGATTTTTATTGGACTCAATGCGAAACTTGTACAAAGCTTTTTTAAAAGAAAACAGTGGCATTAAGTATCACTACAGCTACTTTGCCATACATAGACCATTTTTTGTGAAAGCACCTGCTGTAGATTGAAGGGATACTTGCTTATGTAAGTTGCATGCAAATATAAGCTATGTTGTGAATAGTCTACATTACAATAAAGTTATTATGCAAAAAGACACTAATGCGATCTTGGAGACACTAGTTTGTACGGTTGATTCGGAATCTTGTATGAAAGGTGTTTGTTCGAAGTGTAAGACCCGGGGCATAGTTTATGAAAAAAATAACCGAGAAAGAATTGTGCCACTACGTCAGTGGGTAAGGAAAAGCGAAGTTGTAGAAAAGGGAGGAAAAAAGATAAAGATTTCAAAAAATGTCCCTGTTACCGAAAATCACACTATTCAAGAAGTTATTCAAATATTTGAAAATGAACTCATGAATTTCAGAACTCATCTCTACAACATCCAACATCAATACAAAGCATACCGACAGTGTATCGATGGTCTTACTGGAACTGAAGTAGCTTTACATATAGATTTTAGTGAGAACTATGCCTCTAAGTACCATTCTGAAGTTCAGTCTCACCATTTTGGTTCTCGTAATCAAGTTACCCTCAATACAGCCGTGATGTACAATTATTCTACTGAAACACAATCAATAGAAGTAACTTCATACTCTACAGTGTCTTCTAATCAGAACCATGGACCTTCTGCGATCTGGGCTCACCTGCACCCAATTCTTTCTGAAGTAAAAAATAAACATCCTATTGTAACAACGGTTCACTTTTTTTCTGATGGACCTGCGACCCAGTATAAGCAGAAGATTAATTTCTACCTAATGGCAAATAGGTTTTTCGAAAATTACTAGTTTCGTAAAATATCTTGGAACTTTTTTGAGTCAGGGCATGGGAAAGGAGCTGCCGATGGAGTTGGTGGAACCTTAAAACGCCAAGCTGATGCTATAGTAGTTAGAGTGGCAGATATTGCAGAGGCATATGAATTTTTTTCTACACTTCAAGATGTCAGCAAAATTAAGTTGTTTATGGTGACAGACGAAGACATTGAAAACGTTGCAAAAACTATTCCCAGTAAAATTACACCCCTGAAAGGAACTATGCAAGTTCATCAGATGTTTACAGAAACTCGTGGAATATTAAACTATAGGATACTGAGTTGTTTTTGTGAACGGTTCTGTTCCTGTCACGGTCCTAAAACTTATCAGCCTACACTACCCGACACTGAAGATATAGCGAATCAGAAGTCTTCTTTACGAAGAAGATGAACCTAATCTTGGAACAGAAGATTTTTCTCTTGCTGATATTACGAATAAAATTGGGATGCCTAGTAAAAGATTTTACGATATCGTATATTATAGCCCGAGTGAATCATCTGATGAAGATCAGCCACTGGTCACGTATATAACTAAGGATTCTATCAATCCACCCGTGGTATCCGGTACTTCATACCAAACACTGCAGCCTCAGGACATTCATCCAAATAAAATAGAAGACGGAGTTTACATTTTAGTTAAAGTACGAAGCGAGAGGAATGTTCTATACACTTACGCTGGAGTTGTTAAAAGTACCGTCGACAAAGAAGGTGATGTTCTGGTAATTTTCCTTAAAACAATCGATGATAGTGGAAGACTATTTAGATTATTGGAGAATGACTTATTGGATGTTCCATTTGTATTTCATGAAATTACAACTCTGTCACACACACCACCACTCTGTCACGTTTTTGTCTCCCGGAAGCAAAATTGTTTTGACTTATTATATACTTTCTCTTGCATAGTACAACTTTAGAAAAATTAAATTGATCATAACGAATGATTTTTTCGGCAATGACGTTGATATTTCTTTGCAAGTAATAGTGAATCTTAATTTATATCAAAAATATCCATAATTTTATCTAAAAATGTGACAGAGTGGTTAATGTTCATTAATTTACATATAACCCAATCAATATGCGCAACATATTTTATATATTATTCTAAAGAGCCATTTGTTTATTTTTGACACAAAAAAGTGCAAGTCATTTGTATCAAATTATTCAATGATATTAAATAAAAGATTTTGTGACAGAGGTGTACAAATTTGGCCACTAAATGTTTAAAAAATTTATAAACTTAGCGGCCACTACTATTTTTCGATAGACTATTAATTCAGCCATCATAAAATGTATAAGTGTCAACGAGAAAACGATATAATTTTTTTAACAAATTCGTGGCAAATTTTTTTCACTATGTCGGTTAAAAAGAAGAACAACCCTACTATATTTATCATTTTATCTAGAAAATCGACCATTCTCTCCGAAAAAAGCTGGCGAAATTGTTCTATACAACATGTAACAAAAACCCTGTGGTTCCCGTTAACTGCGTTGTTAGAATCAGATTTATATAGAAATAAATTCTTTTAAGAAAAGTCTACCATAATTTTTTTTAATTTAATAAAAAAAATACAAATTGTATGCGGTTTTATTTCCTCTAACTCACACGAGTATCGGTAATGCGGGGTCTTTGACAATCCTCTTACTCCTCGGCCAATGATAATAAAACCACATATAATTTGCAAATTAATTTTTTACGTAAAATTATTTTTGAATGTGTTTTTTTATTATTTCTATACGCTTGAATACTGGTTCTGATAACGAACCTAAATATAAGCACAGGAATTTTGTTACATGTTGTATAACGGTAGCCTCCTCATTCTTCTGATCAATATGTCTGTGTTCTAATGGGGAAAAACCATCCGTATCTGCTATCCAGTCACAGTGTTGAAATGTGGCAGTTGTTGTGTTTTCCAGATCAACATTGTTATATAATACGTAGCTTGTTGCTTTTTTCCCTTAAATAATTATGCAGTACACCGCAGGTCATCACTGGCATCCACTCAACAACTCTAACACGGGATGTTAATATATCAAATATGTTCTCTTCTTTTCTTTTCTTCTTTCATACTGTTCAGATCTATCTTTCCACCCAGTTTCAGTTGTTGGCATCTGTAAAATAATTATTTACAAATGTTATATTTATTTTTAAAATTCATCATCGGATGAACAAACTATGTCAGTTGCAACATCAAGCAGAGATCTCAAGTGAAGAAAGAAAACGTCGCTATTAGAAAACAAGAGAATGAGTTTCCTTTGCAGAAAATTTGTTAAATTAAAAAGATGAACCGTGGGAGGTATATGATCGATCAATTGGTTTTCAGCTAAAAGATTTGAATGAACGACAATTAGTAATTGCCCAACAGTAATAACTGATGTCATATTTTATGGAAAACTTGATGAACTAAATGAAAATACACATGTTTGTCTAAGTCCATCTACTGAACTATTTTCTCAGCGGCATAATCAGTTTCATTTACCTTCTCTACCAAAAACCTTTTTCTCGTTTTCACCATATTTATCTATCAGTTCATTTAGTCCTAAACAAACACCATCCCATCAATCACCGCCAAACCCGCAAGTTCTTGCCCACCAGCCATCACCATCCTATCAATCACCGCCAAACCCGCAAGTTCTTGCTCACCAGCCATCACCATCTCACCAACCACCATCTCAACAACGAGCAATGGAGGTTAGTAATGTTGCAACTGAACACGCAGTTAAAACCACGCGGACGTGACAGGACCCGAGCACGTTCGCAGACTCAAGGTTGCCGCAGCCGTATTCCTGGGCGCGCTGCTTTTCGGGACAAATGGCTGTGTTTCTCCCACTATCGTTTCAAGGCTAGGGCGCAGAAATGTGTTCAGCCGTGCGCTTGGAAACCGGAGGAAACGGCAAATTAAATGCCGTGCAGCGGAAGAGGCGAATAGTTGCATAGGCATCTCTAATCATCGCTTCAGCATAAGAGATAAGTCCAGCAACTTCATTTTTCTAATTGATACCGGTGCCAATATATCAGTTTTACCGCGAAACAAAGTGAGTGTTAAATCGTGTGGTAATGGGTGTTCTGAATATATTTTATATGCAGCAAATGGCAGCAAAATAAACACTTACGGTGTTAAAACTTTAAATTTAGATTTAGGGTTGCGCAGAGTGTATCAGTGGACATTTGTTATCGCGGAAGTGCGTCAGCCAATTTTAGGTGCAGATTTTTTAGCGCATTATAAGTTGTTGGTCGACGTAGCGTCTCGCAAACTAATTGACGAGGTAACAAATTTAAATGTTTTAGCACCTATTGTTTTCTGTCAAGAACAGTCAGTCCAGACCATAGATAAGTGTCATCCTTTTTATGATTTGTGATACACACACAATATCCTGATATCTCCAAGCCGGTTTCATTTAAAGAACCACCGTAAGACCATTACCGCCGCATCGATACTCAAAAGTTAAGGAAGAGTTTAGGCTTACGCAACAGTTGGGGATTTGCAGGTCGTCGAAAAGTGCGTGGGCAAGCCCTCTACACGTTGCGCCTAAAAAAGACGACCAAATACGACCATGTGGCGACTACAGGGCTTTTAACGCGATTACCAAGCCCGATAGGTAACCTAAACCACGATTGCATGATTTAACATATTTATTGGAAGGTAAGAAAATATTCTCACGAATCGATATTAATCGTGCTTATCATATTATAATGATCAACCCTAACGATGGAGAGAAGACCGCCATAATAACACCTTTTGGTCTATTCGACTTCCCACGCATGACCTTCCGCTTGCGCAACGGCGCACAAACTTTTCAACGGTTTATAAATCATACTGTTTTTGATGGCCTAAATTTCCTTTATACTTATATCGACGAAGTTATCATTGCAAGCACGGATATGACGTCACATAGAGAGCATCTGAATACCGTGTTCGAGCGACCAAATAAATGCGGTTTGACTATCAACCTGAATAAATGCTTATTTGGAAAGTCTAAAATAGATGTTTTGGGTTTCGAGGTATCTGCGGAAGGTATTCATCCTCTTAAAGATAAAGTTGATGTTATTTGTGCTTTTCCGAAACCAGTAACTATTGAAGAACTCAGGAGATTTTTGGGTATGGTCAACTTTTATCGTTCTCATTTGCCCAATGCTGTGGAATATCAAATGGAGTTAAATAAATTTTTAAAAAACTCTAAGAAAAATACAAAACTAAAATTAATTGAGATAAGTCAAATGAAGCATTTATTCAATGTAAAACTAAGTTGCAAAATGCAGCAAGCTTATCGTATCCGAAACTCGACACCCCGCTTGCACTTATGACGGACGCATTAAATACAAGCGTGGGAGCGGTATTGCAACAGCAAGTAGGTAATTCATGGTCACCGCTAGGGTATTTTTCGAGAAAATTATCGCCTACTCAACAAAAATACAGCAAACTTGTAGCTATTTATCTGGCAGTGAAATATTTCAGAAACATGGTTTAAGGTCTAGATTTAGTAATTTTTACGGAACATAAACCCTTAATCTTTGCGTTGTAAAAATAAATAGTAAAGATGAGTTCCTAGGCACGTGATTGTCTCACGATTTACTTTTTATTAGCGAGTTCACTACGAACATTAAACACAATGAAGGTGATAAGAATGTAGTAGCGGACGCGTTATCAAGGATAGAGACCGTAACTTGTCCGACCGTAATAGATTATGTAGCAGTCAGCAGTGCACAAATTAACGACGAGCAGCTAGTTAGTCTACGCAATTCTAATAAGTGGAATTTTAAACAGATATGTATTTCTGGCAGCGACTTACCCGTTTGGTGTGGAATGTCTACCAAGCGGACGAAGCCATATTTACCGGAATAATTTAGACGTTTAGCTTTCGACTCTACTCATAGTCTTAGCCACCCCGGAATTCGTACCTCGCGTCAGCTAATGAGTGACAGATTTTTTGGGTTAATATGAACGAGGACGTAGGTAAATGGGCCAAGTCGTGCGTTGA